CTACCACAGAGATACATTAACTCCACACCAGCCTGCCTCCTTCCTTCCTTCCAGCTCCTCCCTACCCCCAGGGCCTGGGTGGTGTTCCTTAGCTTTTTCACCCAAGGCTGGCATTCTACTACCATTTTATCCACAGCTCCAGTTCCAGGCTAATTGGAAGAATCTAGGGGACATTTCTGCTGGGGCTGACTTGGCCCCTCAGCCTCCTGAGTAGTTTGGATTACAGAGTGAGCCATTAGCACCTACCTGCAAGGCTTTTCGTTTTCGTTGTTTCCTGTGTCTGGGAAACCTTTTTCTTCACAGAAGATTGCTCAAATTATGTCATTGGTGAGGCCTCTAGAATTAGCTGTGCCTTCACTCCTAAAATCTCCTACTCTGCTTTAGTTTGTTGCATAACTTGCCTACTATCTTCTCAAGTAATGTTTAACTGTTTAATCTTACCACTATTGGATTCCAATAGTGCTAGGAAATGAGTTGTGGACCTTATGCATGGTATGCAAGCCCTGAGTAATATAAGCATAGGGATACATTTAACGAATCTAGAAACCTTTCTTAAGATCTAGATGTTAAGGTTGAGGGTATAACTAATGAAGCACTATTTGGCTGATATGTGTGAGGTCCTGGGTTGGAACTTGAAAGTAAATTAATACATAAACAGAAAACACAAAAAAATCTCCATGTAAGCCAAGGTATTTTTATTCACAAATATATACCACAATTATTCAGACTTACCATTTCCTTTGGAAAACATCCAATAAATACCTGCTATTTACCAGGCACTGTGTTAAGTGTAGAGAATGAAAATGAGTAATACTCTTCTTTGTGGGAGCCCATATAAAATACACTTTATTTTTTTAAGCAGAAATACATGGTATGTAGGATTTGGTAGCAGAAAATACTAAAATCTAGTACTATTCCTCTATGCTTTTCTTGTGATTGGTCCCAGTAAAGCAACAACTAGATAGCTGAGGTGTAGAATAACAGAATCAGATGGGCAGGATTGAAGTTTCACACAAAAGAACTGACCACAGATTAGAAAATTTATGCAGATCACTATGTACCAGTTAGGCTGACAAATAGCCCAGCTGACCCAAGCATAGAGAAGCAATATGAAAACCTTTTTAAGTACCCAGATTAGTGTTACTCTTAACGTTCCAACAACTATAAATTTTCTACTCTGCCAAGCACAACATTTTTTATGTGACATCTAGAAATGCTCAGCCATTTACATATGCCTTTTCCTTTCCAATGGTTCAAACAAGCCCTCCAGAATCCACACCTTATACCTTTACTCTTACTGGTGTCAGGATAGAAACTGTTTTTAGAGACTAGGCATATTATTTCAAATCCTGTGTGCTGGTCCTGGGGTTTGAACTCAGGGCCTGGTCACTGTCCCTTAACTTTTTTGTCCAAGGCTAGAGGCTCTATCACTTTAGCCACAGATGCACTTCCAGCTTTTTCATAGTTAATTGTAGGTGGAGCCTACAGACTTTCATGCCCAGGCTAACTTTGAACCATTATCCTCAGATTTCAACCTCCTGAGTAGCTAGGATTAAAAGTATGAGCCATCAGTATAGGTCTTTAATCTTTTTTTCTTTTTGTCGGTCGTGGGGCTCGAACTCTGGGCCTGGGCACTGTCTGTCCCTGCGCTCTTCAGCTCAAGGCCAGCGCTCTACTGCTTGAGCCACAGCACCACTTCCGGTTTTCTAGTGCTTTATTGGAGATAAGACTCTCACGGACTTTCCTGCCTAGACTGGCTTTGGACCGTGATCCTCAGATCTCAGTAGCTAGGATTACAGGCCTGAGCCACCAATGCCCAGCTAGGGCTCAAATCTTATACTACTACAAGATGCTCAAAAACACTGACATTTATCAAGTGAGCCTGGGATTATTTATGTCTGAATCCAAATGTTCACCATGTCAGTGCCCTCTGGGTTTTACAAAGGTGACTTTGAAATCCCACTGACTCAGATTTCGTCTGCCCAAAGGTTTTAAGTTTTAGAAATTACAAAAATACATACAGGTAAAATAGCAAGTTAGTAAAAGAATACTAAAGCACTAATTGATATCACAATTTTGTATGGAGCTCTGTACTGATACTTTGGGGTTTTACTGTGTATGTTTTTTTAAAATTATTTTTTAAATTGCTTATTCTGTAGCACTCTTAATAGTTCAAGACAGTACTAGTTCAATAGTTATGTTGATGTGAATTTGTGCTCTATGCTAGAATACAAATAAAGCATTTTTATTTAAAAATGCAGATCAGGTACATAGATTCACAAACTAAGAATAGTGGAGTTTTCAAATGAAGGAGTCCTGCTACTATGATGACAATGGTATTAAAAAGAGTGATTTTGGATACTTTTTGCTACTGAATCAGCACTATAGCTACTGCTTATCTAGCTAGGAATTTAAAAAGTTTTGAGGTAATTGCACTTTAATTTCCAGTTAAAAAAGTAAACATTTTCGAAAAACATAAACAAAATTTTTGACATGGGCATGTGGAATCTTTAACAAATGTATGATGGCTATTGTCAAAATCTTCACTAGGGAACCAACTAATGCTTGAGAATTACAGCATTCATCAACTAGTAAAGAACAACAAAAACAATGTTGTTAACAGGTCAAATGGTACTTAGTAATACAAGAGGAAAAATTTAGTAAATGTGGGAGCAAGGATATGGTATTAGACTCTGAAGGAAAAAAAATCAAGAAATGCTAGCCTCAAAGTTAACTGTTTTAAGCCTAAACACAAACTCATAAGTAATTTACAAAAACTACCTTCAAAAGTATCTGGCATATAACAAAAAGCCTTGGATTTTAGAGGTAGCATTAAGGTTGGTAAGAACTCTGCTGTAACAGGCTTTTGGGGCTAATTTATAATTTGCAACCCCAATTTTCTTACCTCTAAGATGGTGATGTACTCTTATTTCCCTAGATCAAATTAGATAAATTATTAAAATAGAGTTGTATCAAAATAAACCCATAAGAAACTGGGTATGAAGATGGAGAGAGAAAGTAAGTTACCATCTTTTTCCTACTACCATTCTCTCAGAACCATTAGCACCAACTGCATGTTTTACTAGATATATAGGGGACAGAGTCTATACATACTGTTAATTTCTCCAAATATCTCCTCTTCCTTTCTTCAGCTTTTTAAACAATAAAATCTGGTTAAGTCCATCATCTAGACATTTATTGAAATTTAGTGATATTTTGAGGTAGCTTTGTTCAAAAGAGCTATTTATTTCTAATAAACTTTAGAAACCTTTAATAAAAATTGCAAGTTATAGCAATAAGGCAGAATTCATTGTTTGTCACCATATTACAGAATTTTACAGTTCAGGTTCTAAAGATTTTTTTTTTGATTTAGTACTTCGTAACCTGTAATCTACTTATTTTGTAGGCATGGATCAGCAAAATGATACTGTGTCACCTAATTAAAGAGAAAGGACCCTGTGCATAGAAAAAATTTCCAAAACAAAAGCTAAGAAATGCATTTTATATAGAGAGAAACATATGAAATGATAATGGTTAGAAAATCAATCACATTTCATCTTAAACTCCAAATCCATAATTTCTAAGTAGATACATTATTCTATTGAACTAGCACATTCAGAGACTACAAAGACTGCACCAGTCAACTTTCATCTTTACAATAAAGGTGTTCAATAGTAAGTCAGGACTCATAGTTGACCATTAGTGGAACATTCTCTGTATTCTGCTTATAATGAGAAAGCAAAAGAAATTCTACAAAACTATTACGGTCTCTGGGAAGCATGGTCTTAGTTTAGAAGAATCTGGCCTTCTGGATATTTTCTTCATGCCACAGTGAGTGTTGTTACTTGAGTCACAATTGTCTCAGATAAGCAAGGCCTAAAAATAAAGGCAAAAACATAAAGCAGCCTGATGGATGGATTAGCAAATATTTATTTTTCATATAAATAGTTGGAGACAGTTCTAAAGCTGCTTTCACTTAGTTTTCAAGCATCTGCATATTAAATGCTTTTCTTGTTACAATATGGACAAATAAAAATAATAGAGATAATTCTGTGAGTATTGAATAGGCAAAATATTCAAAGTAGAGGTAAGGATAAAACTCATTAATTTAGTTAAATATAGACTTACTATAGGTCTTAACTACTACTCTATCAAATGTCAAAATTGAAAATAAAAAGGCATGTTGCTGCGTGCAGTTGTGAATGCCTATAATCGCAGCTGTGTGGGAGGAGAGGTGAGGAACATGATTTCAGTCCCATTCAGGGAAGAACCAAGTTCAGCACACCTTATTACAAAACAATACATCTTATCTCAAAAACAATCTTGGCATAGAAGTACATCCCTATACTTCCAGCGATGTAGGAGGACTATAGTTTAAGGTTTTCTGGAACAAAAGCAAGAGACCATATATGAAAAATAAATAAAGCAAAAAAGATCTGGAAGTGTGGCTTAGGTGACAAAATGCTTGCTGGCAAGAACAGGGACTTGAGTTCAAGTCTCACTACCACCAATTAAAAAAAATTTAGCTATTTACATGTTAGTTGGACAATGACCTAATAGTAAATTTATTTTAGTGGAATATTATTTTCATATGTATTTCTAGACCTAGACTTATAGCTAAGACAAAAGAATAAGTTTAATTAAAAAAACACAAAACTTTTATGGGAATGAAATTTTGTGCTACTATACTGAGACTCACTGTCACCAATATTTTTTTACCCACTTATCATAAAAAACTAGTTCTCAGATTCTGCATACAGACAGCTTTATGTAAAATATATAAACATTTGTCCAAATTGGTACACAGATTGCATAAATATGGCAATTAAGATTGCATTTACAGATTGCACGTACAATGTTGTGCAAATTATCACAATATTACAATTTCAAAAGTTATTTAAATTGGTATCCAAATAATTAGTGAAAAAATACCCATGCAGAATTTAAATATCCTAGAACAAAATTTAAAATGTCTTCATTAAAAGTTCACACATTTAAAATAGTTTTATTCATTTTATTTGTATATGTCAAAATACATTTTTATTTCCAAAATAGTGGGTTTTGCAACTAGTTTCATGCAGAAACAAGGTCTGCTCAATACTACCAATAAAATCAATATAGCACAGTAGCTGTTCAGTTTTAGATACAAAGAATAAATAACCTAAATACAAAACACTAAAATATTAGAAACATGTATTTAATCATTCTTCACAGGCATCCAAACTTCACAAATAAAAACCACAGCATGCCTTACTGTTGTGCAACCAGAACATGTTGCCGTCACTCAAACTGATCAGTTATCTGTATATTTCACCTCCCACATGAGACCATGGAAACTATATTCAGACCCACCATTCATACAGTTCAAATATAACCAAAAATAGATTCCCCACAACTATCCTTGTACCTTTAAAATCAAGAATCCTGAGCTTGGTAGTAAGAGCATAACCTTATATCTTCATAAAACCAATCAAGAAAGAGGACTGAAATCCTGCTTACCAAAACACCCTTCCCCAACCCCAAAATAATCTAAAATAGGCAGTAGGACACAATGACCTTTTAAAATGAAGGGGTACAAATTCACACTTAATAAAGTATACAATACACTCAATAATACAGTTAGCTACTATAAGCTTTACAATGTACAATTTATTCAAATGGCGGAACTGTTCAGTGGTTAAGGAGACAGTTATGTGCCAAAAAGATGTAGTATTTTTTGCATGGTTTAATGAAAATATAAAAGCTATTTTGTCCAAATAAAAGCCATCTTTGCTATATACTTAGTTTTGCTTTTTTTTCTTTCTCATTTATAAAAAGGCCATTGAATGTATAAAATGGTCTGAACATGATGGTGGTATCAAAGTCAATGCCTCTTCATATGGCAATAACAGTGCATTTAACATTAACTCACGGGTTAGGTCTGCAAATGATTTCATAGCATTACTTTGGCTAGCACAACAGTTTTAGACAGCACTCAGATAAATATAGGTATGTGAAATGTGAAGCAATTATCTTATGCAACTTTAATTATGTTTGAATACTATCAGATAAAAACAAAATAAAAGTACAAGTCCTTTACAGTAGAAAATTTTGTAAAGCTAGGGCTCCATATAATGTGTAACTTTTAAAGTTGTTGTATTATATTGTTAGCAAATTTGTTTTTAACACTATCACGGAGTAGCCTACTTTGCATTAACAGACATTTGAAATAAGAAAATAGTCAAGCATGCCATGTGGTGATCTAAAAAATCAAAACACTTATTTATATATACAGCATCACTCAGTACCTGCTAAAAATGAATGTGAAAGTTACAGAATCTAGTATCTTATACTACAATTAAAAAAAAAACAGCAAAAACGAAAGGTGACCAATGAAGACAGAAAACAGGTCTTAAAAGATCTAATCACAACTGACTTTAAAGCATTCATATAAGAAATAAATGCATATTGCACAAACAGTGAAAGCAAATGTTCCACCAAGCAATTCAGGTTCAGGTGGGAGACAATACATTAGCATAATACATGACAATTACCTCAGAAGAGGAAGTTGTTTTTTTTTTCAGTTAAGTGAGAAAGCTGTGAATACATAGAAGACTCTGCCACATGAAGAGTTAGAAAGAAAGAAATACAAACCCAAACTTAGATGTAAAGAAAAAAAATTAAATATTGAAAAACTGGAAACTGTGGCACATCAAAAAATGCTGAATAACTGTCTTCTGTGAGCTCAAAGTTTCTGTTGACACAAAAGTATCTATGTACAACTAAGGCTTACTGGTTAAATATCGGAGGCATACCTGGCCTTGAACACTTTCCTTATATGCTGGAGCTGTAAACAAGTTTTCTCAGTCATTAAAAAAAAAATCTCAGCAGCTGCATTTACATGAAACAATGGTCTTGATAACGAAACAAAACAAAAATCCCAGAAATTAAACAAACAAAAATCCTAGATAAGAGGGCATTTGGCAGGATATCCGAAAATGACAGTCTCCAAGGATTCTTCTCAGGCTTCCAGTGACTGCCAATTATGGTCCACTGGGTAACTAGTATGTGCAATTCCTGCTGCTCTGTTTTTGCTTTTGTTTTTTAACTCTACTTGGAAAGTTTGCTTATAACTCTGATCAAGGCCCCATTTTCATCCTTTAGCCTCTGGTTGTCTGCTTTTAGGTCTGGTAACATCTACATGGGGAAAACAGAAGAACAAAAGTTGCAATAGAAAGATAAAACATTCTTAACAAATGTTATCACCTAAAATGTTCAATCTTTGTCAGTTATATGTATTTCTAATTTCTAAAACAAGGATCATGAAGGAAAAAAAAATACTGCGAAGCTATTAGTTTGATAATGGAATGAAATGTTTATTCTATCAAAGTTATCTACCGAAATGTAGTACTTTATCACTTGATTATGACTAAGAAGCACACTGTATTAGTGCAGCCAAGAAAATGAAGCCTGCTTTTGTTAGGATAGGTACTTAAAAGTGAATTCCTTTGAACATTCCTGTTAATACCTAAACCAAAGTCTTTTTATTTATGCTAGTTAAAACCATAATACTGTTGTTCTACAAGAAAATCAGTCTATTTAAGAAAGTTTTGAGGGGGTTAGGCTTGTTTTAAATTATTAAAATTTCTTAAGCTTAAGTACCTAGTACAATGTCTGTTCCAAGACACGTGCTTATTAAAAATAATTTTTATCAGAATAGTATAAAGGAAATTTTAAATTATAGTAAAACATGTATCCAAGAAAACAATCATGCACAAAACAAGTATTTGAAGCAAAGAGAAAAGCACCTATCTTTGCAACACTGAAATTCAATTTTACAGACAAACTGAAGGAATGAAAATGCTACAAATTAAATTAATTTTCTACTAAGAATAATTATATAAACTTCCATTTATTATTCAGCTTTGCCAGGTCAAATAATAAATGGAATAGTTTATATTTGAGACATGAAATAGTGTATTCCAAAATCTTTTCACAATTACTAATTATATAAACTAAAACTTCTACTTGAAAAACTACCTTAAGCCACGTCTTTAGGAAGTTTTTTATTTTATATAGAACCAATTAATTCTTATTTGTGTTCAGAACGTTTAAATGTAAAATACACTAACTTGAATTTACACATTAAGGTATCTGTAACAAAGAACTAAATGAACATAACTTCAGATGGTTCTAAATGAATGTTATTTTCAAATAGATGATATAGGCTTAATTTGGTTTTAAAATATATTAATTACATGTTAATTATATGCTACTTTTTTTGCATTCCACTTTCTTTCTAATAAAGGACTATAAACATTAGACATATTTTAATCCCAAAACATTTTTAGCACAAGTCTTTAAATTCCTAAATCTTGCCCTGGTTTTACACTGTAAGTTGCAATATGTTATTAGTGATACTTTAAAAAAATTCTGAGAAGCCATGCATAATTAAGGAGTTATATGATAAACTTCAGACACAATGGTATTAATTTGTAAAAATGTGCTTTTACAAAAAACACACTAAAATAAAAACACCTGCCTGGCTCTACCAAGAAGAAATGATGAAACTATAATTTACAGGCTCACAGAATGCAGTTGCCTACAGAACCCTGAGCGCTTGACTACCACTCTTGTCAAGGCCCTATTCTCAGTCAGCAGTCTTTCATTTAACTCTCTCAGACTCTGAATCTGCTTTATTTGGTGCAGGTTCTGTAGGAATCAGAACATAAAGACATAAAAATAAAAAAAAAAGAAAATGAAGAGTACAGTCAGAAAATAAAGAATTACAAGGTAATAAATAAAAAAGGAGCATTCCAAAAAATTTAGAAAGGTAAACAATGTATTACTAAAATTCCATTTCAAACTGAACATACAAGCAAATAAAATCCAAAAGACTTGCCGCTACTTTTCAAAGCATCTCAGTAATAATGGTCTAACAAATGAACTAAATAATTCAATAGAACATTTAAATATTGAATTTTAGAATGTTGTACTATGTCTTAAGAGGACAATTTATTTAAGGCAATGTGGTAACAGGCCATTAATTAGCTGATCTTTTTCTGTTTTTCCTGCAGAGTGGTCAAAATTCAAAACAAATATTTTCACAGAGAATGAATTTAATACATCTTTGCTTGTCCCTTCTTCTAATATACTTTATTTCCATAGAAGAATTTTTTTCATCTCCTTGTATTTATTTTTGTTCAGTCATGGGGCTTGAACTCTGGGCCTGGGAGCTGTCTCTCAGCAATTCAGCTCGAAGATAGCACTCTACCTCTTGAGCCACAGCGCCATTTCTGGTTTTCTGGTGGTTTATTGAAGATCAGAGTCTCACAGACTTTCCTGCCCAGGCTGGATTTGAACTGCAATCCTCTGATTTCAGCCTCTGAGCCACTAGCGCCCAGCCATGATTTATTTTTAAAGAAACATAAAAGTATACTTAGACATAAAGAGCTTCACAAAACCTTTCCTCTTATAATTATTATCTAATTTTTATACCTGAATATCGAAAGTGTTATACATTTAGATTGTCAAAATGATTTGGGTTTTACATCTTCTTCTAGCTCACTACAACCTGGATTTAGAAAGAAAGAGAAGCAAAAGATATAGATAACTCACCAATTGGGTAATTAGCTCTTTGAACAATATAAACATTTATACTTGTATAACATTTAAATCCATAAGCAGTACTGTTTCTCACATGATCTACTTACTTTGAGCTCTTCTTCCATTTCAGATATTCTTCTTTCTAGGGCTCTTCGTTCCTAGATCAATTTAAGATACCATTAATGACATAATGATTTCAGTTTCAATTTTTTCTCTATATTGTGAAATAGTGACACTTTAGAATCAATGATAAAATCAGGAGCAGTGTATAGAAAAATGTGATGCCAGTGATGTGAAAGAGCTTTCCAAAATGAGAAAATATGAAGATCTTAATTTTTTATTACTCTTCATGAGCTCTTTTTTTAAAGCTCTAACTTTCTGGTGAGATGCTACATAATGTGTTTAATCATTTTTTTTTTGTTCATATAGAGTATAGGCAATCAATCTCCAAGACTGAAGACTGTATCAGAAAGGAAAAAAAAAAAACTCACACAAAGATGCAATTATACTACTGTGATAGAAGCAGAAAAGCAAAAGCAAAGGTGCCTAGGATTTGTGTACTTTGCAAATCTAACCACTTTGTCCTCTAACCACAATGTTTACTGGCCATTATTTTATCCACTTGCTTTTATAGTTTTGTATATAGGTTGATACTGTGTGTAGCATTAATGCGGTGATCTAATGGAGTAGCAATTCTAGCATAACTCATTTCAGAGTGACAGGCAAAGCCAACATACAATATATTATTGCAGTGTACTGTTTTATTTCCTTTATCAAATAAGCATTCTATGGTGTTATGCCAAAAGCAAGCAGCAGTAATTGATGAACTGTAAAACTGGTTAGGTCATACCGCCCAGAAGATACTGACTCTTGCCGGTCACCTTTCAGATACAAACCATTTACATTTAGTTTAATGACACTGAAACTTTTCCCAAGACATTCTCAGATTAATAATTCATGTTGATTTTTAGTAATGCAGTACATTTACTGTAAATGTAAATATCTATTGTTTTTGAAATATGTAACTTTAAGAAAAAGATAGCATCCTACTCATAGCCTTACAAGTGCTATATAGAATCTAAAAATCACATGGTTCAAGATTTCAAGTCAAAATTTACTTTCTCTATATAGACCTTTCTCCTAGATAATAACACATAAAAATTTCATATGAGCAATTATATTTTTGAAAATACTAGCATAAGGGACAAATTTAATCCTCAAAATTTGTCAAATATTGCCAGGTGCTGGTGGCTCATGCCTGTAACGCTAGCTATTCAGGAGGCTGAGATCTGAGGATCAAGGTTCAAAGTCAGCCCAGACAGGAAAGTCCATGAGACCCTTATCTCCAATAAACCACTGAGAAAATAGGAAGTGGCGTTGTGGCTCGAGAAGTGGTAGAGCTAGTGCCTTGAGCTGAAGAGCTGAGGGACAGCACCCAGGCCCAGAGTTCAAGCCTTAACCAACAACAAAACCCCCAAAACTTTGTCAAATATCAGAAATAGAATTTTGGTTGAGAGATAATTTTACCCAAGTCTCAATTTTATTAGCTGTTTTCAAGGTTTTAAAAGTAGTAGAGTAAGAAAAGAATTCTATTCTCAACTGCTTGATTTTATAGGCTCAAACAAACAGTTATAAAATTACAGGCCATTACCTGTGTTGGGTAAATGTATTACATTAAAAACATTAAAAAATATGGTTAAGAGAAAATGCATACAAATTGCTCAGCCCAGTGTTTATCTGATATTCACAAAATGCTGAATACATGTTAGCAGTTCTCAATACTACAAATATCAATGTTTGTTAAATTGAGAGTAGATGAGCTACTTTGTAATTTACCTGCATCTGACAAGCAGAAAAAGGAGGTGAGGTGAAATGTGAGAATATTAACGAGTGAATCACAAGGATGGATACCAAAGTATCAATAATCTCTGTTTGATAAGATTGATAAAGATAAAAAATAAAGATAATATATTTGATTCTTATTCTAAGATTAGGTTTTTGTGACCAAAATATACAACTTTCCTAAGAAATAGAAACTATTCTCGAGTATGATTGTGTAACAAATACAAATATTCTGATTGTGTATTTTGTTCTTTCATATCAACCATTAATGAGTAAAGAGAATTAATCTAATCAGTTCTGCATAAATTATCAAAATTCAAAAGGTTATATAAAACTATATGGCAATATAAATATATAATAACTATCTATTACATTTAAAATATAAGTGATTCTGTATTTTTAGTGATTACGAGTTATAAATTTTTTTTCTTCCTTTTTTGAGATCACAATTTTGCTATGTGGCACAACAGTGTGATCTTGACCTCTACAATACAAGTCAGGCTGTCCTCCTGATTCAATCTTCTGAATATGAGGATTACAGGTATGTACCACCACACCCAACTAGTTGTATCAATTAAAAAAAAAATGACCATAGAACTTAATTTTAAAAAGTTCCAGAATGCTAAAAGGATAGTGTTTTTAAGATATAATTTAGTACACAATAGACATTAATAAATTATTTTTAAATTTGTACTTGTTTTTCATTTTTTTTGTGAAAAAGGCAAACTGGTAATTTTCAAAATGGAATAGAAAAAAAGTTTTCAACATTACCTTGATGTCATAGCTACCAGATATTATTTTTTCTTTGACAAAACCTCTACAATGAGGTTTAGATCAACTGCACTGTAGACTTGCAAACATTCTACAGGCACATTTCCTTTTTTGTGTGTGCTGTCCTGGGAACTGGACACTGTCCCTGTGCCTTTTTCTTTTTATTGAACCATGATCTTTGTATCTCCTAGACTTACAATCTGTGGAAGTAGTTGGGTGCTGGTGGTTCACACCTGCAGTCCTAGCTCCCTAAATATGCTAAGATCTGAGAAAGATGATTCAAAGCCAGACTGGGCAGGACACTTTGTGAGATTTTTTATTTCCAGTTAATCACTAAAGAGCTAAAAGTAAAAGAGCTGTGGCTCAAGTGGTAGAGTTGTAGCCTGGAGTATTGTATCCCAGGCCCTGAGTTCAAGCCCCAAGCCCAGCTCATGTGTGTGTGCACGCGCACACGCACACGCACACGCACACACACACACACACAAATGGAAGTATTTAAAATTTGAGAACTGAAGTAAATGTACACAAAATATTTTAATAAATATGCATATATTTATGAAAAATAAAAAGTATTAAATATTATTATAGAATACATAATTTCAGTACACATGATTTTAAAAATTCTCTAAAATACAGAAATACAATACATTAACTCTTAGGGCCATTTCCTATCTAGAGAGACAAATTAGACTTAATTAAAACTGTCATCTATAAAAACAGAATACAAGAAACCCACCACTGCTTATACAAAAAATAACAGTTAATAAAATGGAATACTTACCCTTTTTTCCATTTCCAATAGTGACCTATCAGCAAATCTTTCTTGTCTCTGCAATAAGGTAAGAAATTACAAAATGGGATGTAAGTGCAATGAAGATGGGGAAAGTAACTTTCTTTAATGGGTATTAAAAGAAATCAAAATATTCAGGTGATATAATACATATTCAAGTGTATAATAGGTTTGAATAAAGGAAAGAAAAAATGATGGACTTTGAATTTAGTAGATTTAAAATTGTCAAATATCTGGGAACAAATTTATCAAATGACATGTCTTTCAAAAGCAGATTTGCTAAATAACCAGTTTTACTAATTCACAGAGTGTTATTTGCCAAAAAAAAATTTTTTTTTTGGTCAGTCGTGGGGCCTGAACTCTGGATCTGGGTGCTCTCCCTCAGCTCTTCAGCTCAAGGCTAGCACTCTACCACTTGAACCACAGCATTACTTCTGGCTTTTTCTACTTATGTGTGCTGAGGAATCGAACCCAGGGCCTCAAGCATGCAAGGCAAGCACCCTACCACTGAGCCGCCTTCCCAGCCCTGTTATTTGCCAATTTTAAGAAATGCTTTTTGTTACTACCAAGCACAAAATATATGTTGTATGTCATTTTAGTTAAGCATAATTTCACTGTTTAATGTGGTAATTGTGTTTTGTGATCAAAACCAGGGCTTTATGGAATGCTAAATTACTTAATGATCCTAATATGGTAATTTAAAAATATTTCCTTTATATAATTATTTTCTGCTTTAATCACATTTTAATATCTTCAGAACTTGAAGCTAAGTTTATTATTATTTTAAGTACTGATGCTGGGCTTCAGCACTCTCCTCAAGCTTCTGTGTTCAAGGTTAGTGCTCTACCACTTGAGTTACAGCTCCACTTAGGGCTTTTTAGTGATTAATTGGAGATAAGAATCTCATGGACTTTCCTGTGCTAGCTGGATTTGAACAATGATCCTCAGAGCTGAGCCGCCTGAGTAGTTCAGTTTTACAGATAGGAGGCATTGGCACCTGGCTTCCAAGATAATTTTTGATATTTTCTTTCAGAATTTCTTCATTTCAAATGTTAAGACATATAAAATTTAAGAAAGGCCTGGTGGAATTTACTTATAATTCCAGCTACTCAAGAGCTGGGGAAGATCATAGTCTGAGGCCAGCATGGGAAAAGTTAGCTGGATACCCCACCTGAAAAACAAAACTAAAAGCAAAAGGAGTGGGGGCATGGATCAAGTGGTAGAACATGATATTTTACCAATTATAAAAAATGGTGAAGATAAGGGACTGGTTTTTCCAAGATGGAATTAAGAACTCAGAAGGCATATATAACATGGATCAACAAACAGCAGAGAGTGTGGGTATGTTTTGAGATTATATACAGTTAATATAAAGTATCTTAATGTCACCTTTATGTAAATACACCTTACCCTGTTGATCAAACTAGCCAATTATGAGCAGATTGTGAACCTGAGCTCTACCAATCTGAGCAGAGGGGCAGGGCCTGCTGTGTTAGGAATAAATAGGCAACAGCCTGCTTCTTCTGCCTGCTTGCCAGATTTTTGGATGATAGCGTACTTGCAGAAGTAAATTTTGCCTTTCCGAAACAAAAGAGACTGGACAAAAAGAAGTATGTGGTACCACTATCAGAACTGAGTATGTAATTTTAGATTCTGCTTCCAAGCTGGATTCTTGTACTAAGAGGCAGGAACTAACTGCTTATGCTAGGAAGTACCATGTTAAAATTAAATTGTTTGTATTTTTTTTTTAAATTACAGAACTCCTTAGAGCTTTTAACATATAAATAGACCCTGTAAAACTTCCAAGATTTAAATTATGAAGCAATTCCCAAGATTCTTTGATCACAACGTTTTGCTTTGCTTTTTTAAAGGATGAGATGTGCTTATTACTATTTCCCAGTACTAGAATGTTCCAAGGGAAAAGACCTTGGGAAAATTCCTAGATCTTATGTACAAGATGGTGAGTCTTCTTGGCTATCTCAATTTTGTTAACTAAAATTGTCTTCTTTTGGCATTCCACAGGAAGAAGCACTGAAGAGTTAAAATTACTTTCTTCCAGCACTACACTTCATCAAGCATTTTTAACCTGAAGAATAGGAAATACTCATAAAATGAAAATTGTAATAAAGAAATTTTGAGGGCAGCAGATGTATCCCAGAGGTACAAGGCCAAGGCTCAACTCACAGCACAACACAAAAAAATTATGACTATAAGATAATCCTCTATACTATAAAAGCTTCAATAAGCCTTGATCCAACTGGTATGTATGATGGAAGTAAAAATTAGATCCCATATATGTCATAACAAATAAAAACTTGACTTTTAATTATAATATTTTTCTATTTAATAACTTGAAAAAAAGAATATATTTATCCATAAACTGCACAGTATTGATCTTTTTTTATTATTATTAGTTTTACTAGTTAAGCTACTATCAATAACCAAATTCGTCTTATTATAGAAAGTTTCAATGTGATATTTTAGGTTCAATGAAATACAACTATTATCTTGAAAGTAACAGAGAAAAATACAAACCTGGGTGGCCTTTTCCAATTGCAATTTAAGATCTGTTAGTTCCATATTTGTATCATGTAGCTGTGCCTTTAGCTTTTCATTTTCAGCTAGAATTTGTTCATAAAGCTATAAAAATCAGGTGAAAAAAAACCCAAATTATTTTTCTGCTCTTTTATTTTTAAAAAAGTTATCTTAATGATTATATTAAAACAGAAAGACTAATGTAGTATATGTACTAGAAAGGATACATTAAAATATTTCAACTCTTTGTGGATGCTTTGTGGTTATAAATAAGTAGTTATAGAAAGTTAATTTATTATGTATACATTTTATAAAATAATTCTGGCATTTAAAATGTAAGATGTTAAAGATAATTCTGATTTTCTAAATTCTTCTAAAGAAGATTTAGCGATCTGACTTTAAATCAGGACTACATACCTCCATTGCAAGTGTAGCTGAGAAATCACTGTAATTTTTATTTTGGAGTATATGAGCTTTTCTATTATTCAAAACAGGGTTACATTTATTATTTTACTTGCATGATACATAGCAATAAAAGGCAGGTAACATTTCTTGGAGTAGTTCAAATGATTCTTGTTCTCTTTCTTAAGACTTTATATCTACTGCTTCTTTTCCACTCCAACTTCTTCTTTTTTTTTTTTTGGGGGGTGGGGAGGGTCCAGTCGTAGGGCCTGAACTCTGGGCCTGGGCGCTGTCCCTCAGCTCTTCAGCTCAAGACTAGAGCTCTACCACTTGAGCCACAGCGCCACTTCCGGCTTTTTTCTTTTTGCTTATGTGGTGCTGAGGAATCGAACCCAGGGCCTAAGCAAGCAAAGCAAGCGCTCTACCACTGAGCCACCTTCCCAGGCCTCCAACTTCTAATACATCTTTCTGGCTATAATCTGCTTTCACATTGACTGTACTAACAGAACTGTTTTCCAGTTCTCCTCCAAATCTGTTTTTTTTTTTTTAACATACAAGAGCAAGAAATACTTTTTAAAATGAAAATTCCATAATTTTCACAAGGAAACTGTTTTGCTATCCTCTACATATTAAAAACCCTTGAATGGCCTTCTCAAGAGCCTGATTTTAGCTTAAATATATTAGAATTAAATTATTTCAATATATTCAATATATTATGTATCCTTCCACCATCAGGTCTATGCAGTCCACTCAGTCTAGAATACAATTCTCATTCCCACCAATTAACAGCTAACTGATCATCTTTCTTTCTTTTTTTTTTTTTTGCCGGTCATGGGGCCTGAACTCTGGGCTTGGGCGCTGTCCCTCAGCTCTTCAGCTCAAGGCTAGTGCTCTACCACTGGAGCCACAGCGCCACTTCTGGCTTTTTCTGTTTATGTGGTGCTGAGGAATCGAACCCAGGGCCTCATGCTTGCAAGGCATGCACTCTACCGCTGAGCTACCTTCCCAGCCCCTCATCTTTCTGTTCTTGGCTAAAACCTTACTTCCTTAGGAAGTGCATTTACCTGTCCTACTACTTTTTGTTGTTGTTATAGCTGTACACTTCATTGTTGTTGTTGGTCATGGGACTTGAACTCAGGGCCTGTGCGCTGTCCCTAGGCTCTTTTGCTCAAGGCTAGCATTCTGCCACTTAGAACCACAGTGCCACTTGCAGTTTTGAGTGGTTAACCGGAGATAAGAGTCTCCTAGGGACTTTTCTGTCCTGGCTTTGAACTGTGATCCTCAGATCTCAGCCTCCTGAGTAGGTAGGATTACAGGCGTGAGCCACCGGTGCCCAGCTAGCTGTACACTCTTTATAAAACTGTTCTCCCACTTCAGAGTAACTGTCAAAGCTTTAATTCAAACAACTGTCACCCAGGAAAATGGACAAATATCACAAGTCTTCTCCACAAACTTCATCAAGCTTAAACTCTTATGTGAAAAATAATAATCAGAATTTTGTACTGTTGAGTTTCTAAGATTTCTTAATTATTTCCAACCTTCATCCTAATAGCACCAGAACTACCATACTTTTTCAGTTAGCTAGGACTGCATTATTCTTTACAAACTATATTCTCTGTATGCTTATTACCAAACAGAGAAGCCATATACGGTAGGTCAGTATTTGGGAGGCTAAGCAGGAGGATTACATGTTAAGGCTTGGCCAGCCTGGGCTATATATAGCAAGACCCTGTTAATGTGTATGTGTGCATACACCTCACACCTCTGCCTACTAAATGCCCCTTTCCAGTTCAATCACAGTAATTGCATGAGACAATACATGTAAAATAAAGTCTTGGATACTTTTCCCTTTAGAAAATAATACATAAGTAATCTATGTACAAATAATTTACAAATATGAAAAAAGAAAGTCATTTTCATATTGATTTCATTAAAAGTTTTTCAGAATAAAATTAAAATATAAATATCTCAACACAAGAGATAACTTATTTTTAATTAAATATAATCAAACAACCTAAGTACCTTTTTGAAGTCAGTTGAGTCATCCTTTTCTAGCCTGCTACTATAAGGTTTTCTGTCTTCTAAGTAACTATACGATCCAGAGCGACCCAGTAAGGAATCATACCGATCACTAGATGATGTGGAACTGGTATCATATCTTTAAAAGATGAGTTCAAATCAAAAACTTTATTATAGGCTTTCACAAATTACAATAACATACATATTAGTATACAGTGACTTGTTATTCTAAAATAGTAAGTAATATTTTCCTTAATTTGCTATGAAATCAACTTTTGTGATACATTTTTAATTTTTATTATTAAAATATTTTTATTTTTGTATTAACTTGTATTGAAGAAAAAGTTTAAAAAAAGAGAATCCTGATTTTATAATATGATAAATTATTTCAACAGATTTAAACTATATTGTTTTCACATTTTAACATTTCTGAAATCAGAACACAGCTTTTAAGTAGTGATGTATTAAAGTTTAATTGGTAATACTTTTCCTTTTATGGAAGTAAAAAATGTTTTAACATTAATAATATCTTAAATTTGATGAAATATAACATTACCTAAGTGTCAGATAATGGGTTTTCTTAAATAGCAAGAATAAATCTTACTAACTGAATTCTTTGTAATTTGGTTATGAACTAGGCTATCTTTTCTGCATTTCAATTCAACAGAATTATCAGTGCATACATTTTTTTTTGCTATACTTTAACAATTATAAACAAAACAACTGATCATGATTAGATTCAAGGATATAGCAATTTTGAGCTGGATGATACTTAAAAAAATATCTTCACCCATTTTTCTTATATCTAAAGCAAGGCTAAGGGAGAAGTTACCTAATAAAATTTCTAGCCAACTGTGGATTTCATCAGTTCCTATGTCAATGAGACAATGTTGAAATATCTTAGGAAACTTTGGAGAACTTAAGAAGAGTCATTATTGGAAGGTTAAGAAAACTTCTTATTCTTTCGTAGTGCTTTATACTATCATAGCCAGTCAGCCGAAAATACAGCCTTTAACAAAAGAAGCTAAAAAGTGTAACTAGTTCACCTAAATTTTTATGCATCTTTATTACCCATCTAATTCCAATTCTAAATTTTACAGAATCCAGAAGTAACAAATGCTTTTAGTAAAAATACAAAAAGAAAAAAAGTATTAAAATCAAGTTAAAACATACCTAGAAACAGAATCCGTCTAGAAAGAAAAGAAACACAGGTTTATTAAAATTAAACCATTAACCTAAAAAAACTTAATGCAAGAATGATCACACTATTAAATTAACTTAACATTCATTATGTTTGCTGTTTTTTTTCTCAGAGAATAGTTGGGGATATAGTCACTGACTGTTCTTATATGCACAGTATAATCACATTTAGAAACATGTTTTATACTTCCTACAAAAACCAACATACAGTATTTCTTAAAGAAAAAAATAAAATGATTAAGAAACATATCCATTATTTATGCTCACTCAGCAGGAAAAAGTGACATATTTATACTATATTAGCATATTATATTGCCAACTTCATATGTTTAATTGTCAGTTTCTCTTATTTTAGTGGATTTTTGCCTTGGTGTTATACTTGGCTCAAGTTTTTCTGTGTTTATTGATCCCTGGGGCTTGAACTCAGGACCTGAGCCCTGTCACTGTGCCTTTTTTGCAAGGTTAGCACGCCATCAGTTGAGCTCCAGCTTCAGCTCCAGCTCTACTTCAGGCTTTTTGATAGAGACAAGAGTCTCAGACTTTTCTGCCTGAGCTAGCTTTGAACTGCAATCCTCAGATCATAAAGTAGCTAAGTTTACAGGTGGAAACCAAGGGCACCCAGCCAAGTTTTTACTAGTTTTTTTTTTTTTTTCCAGTGCTGGGGCTTGAACTCAGGGCCTGGGCACTGTCCCTGAGCTTTTGCTCAAGGCTATCATGCTACCACTTGAGTCACAGCGCCACTTGTGGCCTTTTCTGTTTATGTGGTACTGAGGAATCGAACCCAGGGCTTCATTCATGCTAGGAAAGCACTCTACCACCAAGCCACCTTCCCAGCCCAATTACTAAGTTTTTTGTAGGCTAACCACTTTTTACCAACAAATAGCTTTAAAAACAAACAACTGACAAAACTAAATTTCTGACAGTATAAGGTAATTCAAATTTTGCATGATAAAAATTTATCTTAATTTATTTTAAAATTTATGTTCTATAGATAGATAGTATAAGCTTGATTTACAATTTTCAGTAACCTTTCAACATTTAAGTATTTCTTTAGCCAAATAAATACATGTGAGGAAGTCATTTCAGCACAATTAAATAAACCACAGAAATTTTATTACTGAATATATTTTAAGGTAATGATGACACCATTCCTAGCTACACAATTCTAACTCGTGTGGTACAGTTAAATTCCTATGTGAATATTAGAGCTCCTTAAAGTATTTTCTTTTTTTTGTGGGTGGGAGGGGATGGGGATACCTTGAATTCAGGGTCTGAGTGCTGTTCCTGAGCCTCTTTGTGCTCAAGGCTAGTGCTCTACCACATGACCCATAGCACCACTTCTGGTTTTTTTTTTTGGTCGGTCATGGGGCTTGAACTCTGGGCTTGGGCGCTGTCCCTGAGCTCTTCAGATCAAGGTGAGCACTCTACCTCTTGAGCCACAGCACCACTTGCAGTTTAGTGGTGGTTAATTGGAGATAAGAGTCTCACGGAGTTTTCTGCCTGGGCTGGCTTTGAAACGTGATCCTCAGAGCTCTGCCTCCTGAGTAGCTAGGATTACAGGCATGAGCCACTGTGCCCGGCTCCTTAAAGTATTTTATCTTTTTGAACAGTCAAATTGAAAACAGATAAGGGAAGGGCAACTTAGAAAAAAAAAAAGAAAGAAAAAAGCACTGCAGAAGAAACTTTCATATAACTTTGCCATTTACAAAAGTAAAGCCTGAGACCATTACTTCTGGATTTCTACTACTCTGAGTATCCATTAAATATTTTCATTTGGTCAAGGGTATTATTATTATTATTATTTTGCCAGTTGTGGGGCCTGAACTCTGGGCCTGGGCGCTGTCCCTCAGCTCTTCAGCTTAAGGCTAGCGCTCTACAACTTTGAGCCACAGCACCACTTCCAGCCTTTTCTGCTTATGTGGTGCTGAGGAATCGAACCCAGGGCCTCATGTATGCAAGGTAAGCACTCTACCACTGAGACACTTTCCCAGCCCAAGGGTATTATTCTTTTTCTTGCCTTTTTACCTCTGAAGGGTAAATCACAATAAACTACCCTCACTAGAATGTTACTGGATGAGTTGACAACTGTTGCAAATCAGTAAAACTATCATTGCAACTGAGATCCAGAATATCCCATCATCTCTAAGACATTCTTAGTGTTCCTATTCAATCCTTCCTTCCCTGACTTCCAGGTAACTACTAATATGATAAGTAGGTAAGTACTGTGTCCAATAACTGCTCTGTGTGAATAAATGTAATTAAATACAATTTAAAAGCAATCTTTATAAATATTACTCAATGCAAAAAGTCAGGCTCTTTACCTGAGTTTCTTTTTTATTGGACCCTTCTTCTGTATCTGATTGTTGTTCTTGTTCATTTTCATCACTCTGAAATAGATTACCAATTTATTTTATGAGAATAGAAAAACGTAAGTGACTTGAGAAAAATATATCAAGAAATAGAGCAAAATAAAACCTGATTATTTTTTTTAACTGTAGAGACTGAACCTAGCATGTGCTAGGCAAGTGCTCTTTGACTATGCTACATTCCCCACCCAGGAAAAATTGATTTTAAGTTGGGTTTTTCCTACTGTATTTAGAAAAACTCTTTTAACATGATAAAGAGAAGAAATTCCACTTTATATGATAGTGTATATACTTCAAAAGTCAAAGTAAGTACTTATTTTTCCACTCATAATAAAGCAGTAAAAACAGAACTAAATTCATTGTTTTATGTTAAAATAAAAGGCTAGATTTGCTAAGTTAAGCAAGCCTAATGCAAATGTCATATTATGTTTAGTGGAGTTCCTTCTAGAAATCTCTTGGAAATCTATAGAGTATAGAACAGAAAATCAAAGTCATACTAGGCTAAAAATTTATAATCTAGCCTATGCAAATATTCTACTGGAGGGTTATAAAAAATCTCAATAATTCGGGAAAAGGGAAATTTACAAACATACTGATTCTAGGTTTACTATAGAAGTACTAGACATTGCCAACCAAAAGCTAGATCACATGGGACTTTTAAGTCACATAGGACTTAAAATTATTTTAAAAAATTTAGATATAATTACCTCATCAATAAAGTGAGTATATCATTTTTAGATAGTTGTTCCAAAGATTAGAGTTATACAAGCTATCATTTTGGTATCTAACAAAAATGGGAAGTGAAGTCAATCAGAGAGCCAGAGACACTGCTATCGTTGTATTAATTCCATGTCTTGATATATTACAGTTTCATGGGAGAACACGGGTATTAGAAAGAAAAACATGAGGATGCTGAGTTCCTAAAAAACAGTAACTCAGACCTTATTTTTTTATATTGTCTGCTACAGGTTTAAATATGATGTGACAAAAAGGGGAAAAAAGTCCTGTTCCTGGATGGCAGATTAAAACCAAATCAGTGCTGGCTAAAACTAAAATCTTGTAGAGTGCCAACATGGACCTGAGGTAGGGGTCCTTATAAAGCTGTTCAAATGTACTCATCCAGAAAGTGAGCTTTGTGATAGAAAAAAACAGCGTGAATAAAATTGGATAAAAAAATAAAAATACTACGTACAGCTTTACCTATGAAATTTCTAATATAAAATATTACTGGGGGAAAGGGCTGAGATGAGAAAAATGTCAACTTGGGGCAGGCCCCTTCTTGACCCACAGCTAGGCTCAGTGGTATGTGCCTGTCATCCAGTACACAGGGGAGCTGAGGTTAGGAGGACTGACACCAGGCCAGACCTGGTATGAAAAATCTCATCAATTCCTTCTTCATAGAAGGAGGTCAATGGTTTGGTGATCCCATTTGTGATCCCAGTGATGATGGGACCTAAAGTAGGTGCAACAAGGTTCATACCTAGATAGGTGTAACCATATCCTAAAAAATAAAAAACAAAAAACAAAAAAAAAAATCCCAACACTGAAAAAGCATGGCTGAAGATGTGACTCAGCATTTTCACATTAATTTACCAAGTGAAAGATACTGAGTTCAAATCCCAAATACTGAAAAAAAAAAAAAGCTATAAAACATACAGTTGGGGGTTGGGAAGGTGGCTCAGTGGTAGAGGACTTATCTTGCATGCCTGAGGCCCTGGGTTTGATTCCTCAGCACCACATAAGCAAAAAGAAAAAAGCGGGAAGTGGTGCTGTGGCTCAAGTGGTAGAGCGCTAGCCTTGAGC